TGCCATCGACCACCTAAGACAGGCACGGGACCAGATGTTGTCCTGCAGGCCCACAATGAGTAAGGCTGGATTGGGTACATATGAAGAGTCCTTGACCCAAGACAGGCGCTGTCCACACAGGGCCGGCCATACTCCTAAAAAGTATAATAAAAAGGGAGGAGATGTAGGGAGCGGCATATATCACTGCTGCCAACTTATCTCGCCCTCCTGTGGGCCTCTGCCACGTCTGCCTACATTTCCCATGATACTCATGTCTACCTACATTACCCATAATCCTCTCCTGCTTATGTCATATATCCGGATGTGATGATGACCTATCAGATAACACTCCATGGCTTCTTCCTGCCCCATTGGCCTGGTTCCATCCTATATAAGTTGTAGCCATTTTAAGAATAAACGAGACTTGAATGGAATCCTGCCTTGTCTCCATCTCTCTTTTCTCTTGCCCAGCCCCCCATCCCCGTCCCCCCTCCAGGTGAGGACCACGGCCTTGATCTGTGGGCTGAATCAAGCTACATCTTAATGAAGCTCTATAAAGAGCCTGTCATCTTCAGAGTTAATAATACTAAGTCCTTAATTTACTTTGAGCTTGAATAATAGATATCAATTTCACAGTTTGCTCTTTTGTTATTTGATGTTAAGAAAAAGGAAAGCTTACATCATAAAACATCTGTTATAGAAGGCAACATTAGAAATCATTTAACAAGGAAATCCAAACTCATAAAGTGATTCTTCATGTAAACATTTCTCAAATATAGCATTTAGTAAGAGGTTTCAGTGATTGTTTGCTTATTGTAGAAGTGTGGAACCAATCGACCAATATTTGCATAATTAATATTACCAAGAAATAACTATATCTACTATATTCTGTTTATAATATAAATTACAATGTAAGGCTTTATTGACATCAATGTCCATTATGTTTAACGAATGACATTTATTATAGGAACATCAAAAATAAGTCAAACAACACACAAATGAATAAAAACATCACCATGTTCAAACTTTCTGACACTTTGAAGAAGTATATTTTTAGAGCTTTCCATTCTCTTAAAATTCTCAAGGTCATCATCATAAAAATAGGAAAGCAATAATGCATAAAATAATTATTAAATCTAATAAATTTATTTGATCCTCCATCTACAGGAGTACTGATTAATGACTGCTTTTTAATTAACTGAAAGTTGTTGAATCATTATACCATTTCATTTCACCTGAGATTTCTTATAGATGGGACAGGCACAAACATATGCTGCTGCGGCCTGCAGTGAGGTATACTTACACAATTTTATTCCTCTTGACAGAGCAAGTATGGGCTATTTAGTTCTCATTCATTCACTGTGATGATATTCCCTGCTCAGCTGGCTAGTGTGATCAATAAGGCAGTCTTAAGCTTTATAATATGAATAAAATTTAATTTTAAGGTAGGCATCCAAATAAGATAAAGCATACTGTCTTAGTTAATTTTATGGTTTCTGAGACAAAATATCTGACATCCAAAGTTTAAAAAGGAAAGGTGTATTTAGCTCAAAGTTTATAGAGGTTTTAGCCTACAATCTGCTGGTTTCAAGGGAAGGTATCACATGGCACAGATTCAATTGTTCATGGCAGCAGAAAATAGTAAAAGCATAACAGCAAAAAAGAGGAAACAAGCCTCTTTCTGTCCCTTTTATCCTATCCAGACTGCTGGGATTACACTGGTGCTAATCCAATCAGTGAGCAGTCAACAATCATTCACACTTAATCCCAGCTCCATTAAACCTAGCATTAAACTATGAATGAATCACAAATCCTAGATTTAGTTAGTCCTAAAAGCCCCATCTAAAAAATCCATGAGCCTTGTGGGAGATATCTAGACAACAGCCAAAATTCCTACAATATTCTTGTATTATAGAATCTTTAATTATCTCACATGTTTAGCATCCTTATTTTGCAGACCGATACAGCATGCAATCTATATTTTAGCAGACTGTCTTCCTGGTTCTGAAATTTATTCAATGGTCTGTGAATAGATAGTCAAAACATCTATGGGTCAGTTTTAAGGATATTAGTTTGGCATCTGTGTTAGATTTTTTATACACTATGTGCTTTATTCCTAATTCTGAGTATGTGGCCCAAGATAAGGTATTAGCATGTATGATCTACTGTTTCCTAAATTTCAACTAATATAAAACTGTAGCAGCAGGGTGGTGTACTATGTTTTCCTAATCATATTGATAACTAATTCATTAGGATTCTATGAATTTAATAAATTTGATCTTTCAAGCATCAAATAATGCTAAGATGCACTGCAATGGTTCATGCTTTCTTTCATTCTCAAAATATTTGAAGTTCAAAGCTCTGAAAGCAGTCACTAGATCTTATTCTTAATATTTTGCTTATATCATGATGATGGTTTGGGTAATCTAAGAAGTACTGAGAAAAACAGGGTTTCCATAGCAACTACCATTGAACTACCCACAGACCCTTAGCTGGATGGAAACTAGGACAACTTTCCACTCCTAATCCTAAAATATGCACGCTGTGTGTGTGAGAATGCATGCATGTGTGTTTAGGCAGGTTCATGTTCAATAATAATCAATTTTTGATTGATTGTTATTCTATTACAGACAAATTATCCAGTAGAAGTAAAACATGATTATAGACTGCGTTTGATCACTTGCCATTTATGTTTAAACCAGCAGAGTGAAATAAGGTGGTTCATAGAAGATGTATTCCATGATTTAGACAACTCACTTTTACTGTTTATCAAAAATCTTAGAAAAGTAAAATTCATTTTCAGATGTAATATAATTAAGCTGCTTTCAAATTTTTTGTGAACTGAACATCAATTTATCATGAAAGGAGTAAGATACACATACAGAATGTAAAACAATAGAAGAGGATAGGAAATAAGAAGAGACTTCAGGAAAACACCTTGAAGAGAATACAAGTATAAATGTAGCTCGAAAAGGATGCTTGCATTCTGTTTTTCCTATAGAACATCTGCTTGGAGAGATTATTTAATAATCTTCTATGGGAGCCTATCGTAGGACAAAAGGTCTGTTTGAAAGAAGTTGCAAGGAAGAGAAAACGTTCAGCAGAGGAGGTGCCTGTAATGCTCCTGATTTCACTCAGCACAGTGATGGCAGTGTCCCCAAGGTCAGAGGGACGCAACAGAGAAGATCTGAATTTGAGAAATTTGCTACTAACTTGCTGAAGAAGACCACTTGCTTAGCAAAATGCGATGGGAAATGAAGAAGCTATAAGACGATGACTTCATCTAGTTTCTGTTCAAATGAGATGCCCAGAACACCCAACTAAAATTTATAAAAGTCACATAAGAACTTACAAAAACTACACAAGAAGAGTGTTAGTTTTGCACAACTACCTTCACTTTTAGTGCATCTCAGTCCTATCATGTATCAGCTATTGGAGCACTGCATGAGGAAGATAGAAGATATTTGTGCATTTTAATGCCTTATTCTATCCCTGGCACCAAGGAATGAAAGCTACAATTCATGTTGTCTTTATGTTTACCAGCTATGTGTATAGCTGTGTATCAATAAACGTCTCTGAAATGCACTTTCTAATAACCAGGTCCTATCTGCCAAGGAATTGTAGGTATGATTCAAAAAAAAAATAGTCTGCATTACATTCCTTTCACACAGTAAGTATAAACATTAAGACATTCAGGCAGCAAATGAACTATGAACTGTACTGGACTACCAAGAGATAGTCACAAATCCAACCAAAGAATAGGAACAGTGGGAAGACCAAGTGGAATAAGCTGGACCTGTGTTCTGAACACCAACTTGTGACTTCTCTGGTGTCACAGGCTAGTCAGACTTCTGGGATGACAGTCAGAAACCCAAGAAGATGCTTTCCAAAAGCAAGGAAGAAGCTGCATGGTCTTTATGTCAAACTTACTGTTATGAATCAGAGTAAACTGAAAATGATGATATGGGCTGAAGATCTCACTGAAGTCTGGGAAAGTTGTCTGACCTTTTGTGTCTGCCTTGGGGTATAGCACAGTGGTTTAAGCACCTGCCTGGCAAACGCAAGGTCCGGAGTTTGATTCCAAGTACAAAACAATCTGACTGTTCATGTTTGGAAGCAGATGTTATAGATTAATAAATTCATCTCCTATTTATACTCTCACCATTTGGAACCTGAACAAAATCTGTCCACGGAAATGTTATAAATTCTTCCTGGATTTAAAATTTTAAACTACCATTATACAGTGTTACAAATGTGCACCAGATACATAAAAGGATAAAGGAGAAAAGATGAAATCTCCTAAGAAAGCATTTCTCAAACTTTCAAAAAACTGCAAGCAGATAGATTGAGGCAATGCACTTGTTAAAAACTATGCCAAAAGTTGCATGTTACCATCTCTGCCTGATTATTACTTGAGAAACTTGTGAGCATATCTTTGGGTATCACATCAAACAAATAAATCTTGCAGTCACTCTCAGTTCAGAGGATTGTCTTCTTAACCAAGGTGAAACCAACTCAAATGATAATTTCTGCCAATCCTACAGATTCCAAGCAACTATTTGAAACACAGTTAAAATCCCCATATATGCCACACTTGTACTCATTAAATGTAATTTCTAGTGAAAGGAGAAAGAAAAGAAAAAGGATGCATTAAAACTCTCTTTAATATCAGAAGACATTTCAGAGTGAGTGATTTTACATGAAAATGTCTTCTTCCTGCACCACTCCAAACACACAATGCTAAAGATATGAGGATTGTGCAGGAGAAGTTTTGAAAGTTCTTCATGGAAAAAGATGAGGTCACATCAGGTATTCATGGAATCCTGCAAGACAGAACTTGTTGGCAGCTGTCACTATTTCTCTAGCCTTATGTTATGAGGAAAAGGAACAGGTTTCAGAGTTTCCAGGAGATCACTCAGCTGTCAGACCAAAAATGAAAAACTTCTCAGCAGGGACTCATTTAAACGTGTTAAATCCAAAGTAGTGCAGTGTAACATTGATTCATTCCATGCCATACTTACTAACTTTCCTCGCAATTATGGAGAAATTGTACTGCGCAGTGCTTTCTCTGTCTAGTAATTCATTGGTAGCGATGGTTCCTTCGGTTCCATCTATTGTGAAGGAGCTGTCCCCGTCTCTCTTCCAATCTATGAAGTACCTGTGCATGGAAAGAAGAGATGCAAATGTGCAATGATTCCACATTCATCATAATGGCAGTTAGGCTAACTTGACGTGATTCCTTAGTTTGCTCCCTGTAGCTATTATCCACATTGCAATAAAGAAGAGTGTCAATGACAGCTTCTTTATTGTGAAGTCAGTATGCTCAAGGGGAAACGGGAAATAATGAAAGATTTAGTAGTCCTGCTGTTCATATTATTTCAGGGTCTTGACACCTTGAAAGCTCAGCAGAGACCAAAATTCTAAAGCTGACCATGGATTTCCTTAACCTGCTTAATATTAAAAGGTTTCAGAGCAGTAAAAATTCCTTCACAGGAGGCTGTGGAAAGTGTTAGGGAATGGGGAGGCATCTGGAAACAAGTAGAAAACCTACTCCAGAACACAGGTAGAATCTCTGTGTGCCCACAAAAATAGAAAAAAAAATGAAAAGTTACATTATGGAAAATAAAGAAAAGATTTTATTTGTCAGTTTGGTGATGTTGCAAAATTATTTCCCCTCAAACACATAAAAAAGTGTCATTGTTGTTTTATTGTGTTATACATCAGGACAACTTTCTTTAAAAAAGAGTCACCTTGGCTAATGATGTCATTTTATTTGGTTTATTATCTGATATATTTGGTAATAAAGGTGGCTGACTTACATGGAGCAACTGGGCTACAAAATACAAGAAAATGAATAACAAAGAAATGGAATTGACCAACACTTTGATAGAAACATTTCAATCACAAGAGTTAGCATTTTTAAAGCTTAATTTGTAACAGGCATTATTTTCAAGGATTTCATATATTAATGTATTACTCCTCAAAACATCCCCAAAATGGGTGCTGTGAATCTGTGGAAACATGAGCAGAGCAAAGCATAGAAACATAAAAGGATGTTTCCAAACTGACTTAGCTTGAAAATTTTATGCCAATACTTGGACCAGATCATTATGAATTTGAAATAGAAATTTTATGGGGAAGATTCTTCTAATCACAAGGCACAGTGCACAGCACACTTATTAACATTATTATTCGGGCCTAGTAACCAATAAGAGATCCTTCAAAAGAGTGCTGAGAACAGACAACATTCTTGCAGTCCGCCTGCTGAAACCTCTTGGCTCAAGAAAGCGATTCCTTTGTTTGACATGAAATATCAGTTAAGGGATGTTTATCTTCAAACAGCATGTTACTATTTTCAGAAAGAAATCTTGTTATTTGAAATTGTAGTGGTTTGCATTTCATTGCAGTGGGAGTATCAAAATAGTTTGCCATTACAAACGAGATTTCTAAGCTTAACTTGCTGTTGTTTGTTACTTATTGATTTCTCAACCAGAGGTTTCTGAGTATTGTAGGATTAGCATAGAAACCATGCTGTTCATCTGCTTTTCATATCTCAGATGTTGATTTGAGGTGCGAGTATATACTGAAGGCTTCAAATTTCAATGCAATAGCTGTCTCACGGCAATCCTCTCAAAAATATAAATTAAGACACCTTTAAATTTAGGAAGCACAGGGATGCCTTGAGCTTTGTTTTCCCTGTGTGTTTTTCTGAAAAACAAAGCATTTGCTCACAGTACCCCTTTTTCAGTACCTGCAGTAAACCAAGGATCTGCCTAACTGAGAATAACTTGCCACTGAACAGCATTAGTATTAGTGAGCAGTTTGGAAGAAGTTTATGTAGACTGTTGTTATTTGTGCCATTCATTAAATATGTTCTGAGCATCACCTTTTCACACTGAAGCATACACAAAATGAAGTGTGATGAAAGACTGAGGAGAAGAGTGTCAGCAGATGATCTCTTGTTTAGGAGAAGACAGAGGGAGAGAGAGAGAGAGAGAGAGACAGAGAGAGACAGAGAGAGAGAAAGAGAGAGACAGAGAGAGAGAGAGTGCTTTACAGGACAGTCTAGGATACACTTCATGGTAAAATCTAATGATGTTAGGCTAAAGTTGGAAAACTACTTAGAAATAATATAGGAAAAATATTAGGCTCCCAAAGAGAAGAAAGAAAAATGACATTTTGAGAGGCTGTAGTAACACACCACAACTGGGGAAAGAGAGTGGAGAATTACACTGTCAGTAATTATTGGAAAAAATACTGTAGAGACCCAACAGCATTAAGATCATCATATTACCAATATGGTATGAGATGCTGTTGGGGCATAATTATAGTGTAAGTGCACACTGAGAGAATAGCACACTTTGGGCTGGGGATTTAGTTCAGTGGCATAAGCAGCATCTGCTTGGCAAGATGAGTTCAATCTCCCGTACAAAAAAAAAAAAAAAAAAAAAAAAAAAAGCAGACTTACGGGTATTTCACAGTAAAAGCTAGAGCTCAATCACAGGCCTGTGATCATGATCCTGCTGCTCATGATGTACCATCCCTGCTAACTTCAGTGACCTGGAGTGTCTGCATTGAGATAATGCATTGAGTTACCTTGGCTGTATTACTCACTTCAAGTACTTCAGGCCCAGAACAGACTGGCCCTATCAGGGACACATTTAACTCTGACTTTCCCTCAAAAAACCCTCTCCCCTACTTCACAGAATGTTCTTATATTATGATAAAAAAAAAAAACCATACGTTTAGAATGACCTGACTGACAACGTATATAACCAATGTGTAATAACCTTCGATTTGCTTTTGTACTTCTTGCTTACAAAATGCACAGAAGTTTCTGTTTCACTATCATTCCGTGGTAGTGATTTGAACTTGGTCCCTGTAGTCTACTAGCATAATAAACATTATCTTCTAGATTCCTCAGTGCAAAGTGTTCAACTCAGTTTTCTACTGGCTTTCCTACTACAGTGTTTCCTGTGATTTGTCCCACTAAGGAAGATCACTAGGGTATAGGCTAAAGATCAATCACTTTGAAAGGAATAATTTGGCTAACTTTGGAGGGAAAGGACTAACACATTTTCTGTACTTCAGAATCTCACCAACTGATTGAGAGGAAGAACAAGGCAATTTAGAGATTCAAGCAAAGAGGGATGTAATTCAATGACAACAGCACAGGACCTGCTTATAATGCTGCTGATCTAAGGTTCAGTGACAATGTCAGAGAGATACAGACAGAGACAGAGAGAGACAGAAACAGAGAGACAAAGACAGAGATGACAGAGAGACAGAGACAAAAAGAGAGAAATGGACAAGAAGGAGGAACAGACGGAACAACTGAGACCTGGAGACAAGACAGAGAGACACAGAGACAGAGAAACAGTGAGATTTGATCATACCTACATTATATAAGAATACTAGATGGAAAGAAAGAAGACACAAAAACATGGTATCCATTTCAACTTAACAGAAAAGAAGTTTATGTACAGAGCATGATTTGTTTGTTTTATGTCAGTTGGAGGAAACAAGGCAGCACTGATCAAAGGATCTTCATAAATACAGTCTTCAGATAAACAGGCAGGGCTTTCAAATCAGGACTGCACAGATCTGCAATGGGTTTCTCAGGAAACAGCACCATAGTAAATTCCCAGTCACTCAACAACATCTAATTTTGCAAAGAACGGTTCAGTTTTTCATAACATTTACAGAGATATAATTCATAATTACATGCTGAACAATTCACTTATATAAAATGTATAATCATATCACTGCATCATCAGAATTATGTAAGGAGGGAGTGGTTTTTAGGAAAGGGTTTAAATGTATAAACACTGAAATTTTTGCTATGCTGTTCTAAGAACTGATTATCTGGAATTCTCATTTATATGGACTGTGAATTGGCATGGTGGTAATACAATATAAATACATTTGAAGTGAGGGAAAGGACTTCAGAAGACATTAATTGCTAAGTTCCTTTTATCATGATAAACTTTTAAATTTTACATGTTAACTATTTTTATCACCTCATATGAGCCATCAGTAAGACCTTCCTATGATGTGCTACTCAATAATCCATTGGGATGAATTCCTGATTTATATATAAACATGGATGAATATCAAGTATTCTGCTATTTGAAAGAAGACTTACATTTTTAAAAGTAGATATTAAACATAAGAGAGCAAGATGACATTGAATCTGGGAAGAATTAATGACAAGAGGTGTACTTGAATATAATATTTAAAACTTACTGATTTGTATATGAATATTTCCCTGGTACAAGATTGACACTGGGTATTCCTTAACATGACTGACAAGTATCACCATTTTGTTTTATTTCTAAGAGATTAAATGTATGAAAAATTTTAACAATGATGCAATGGATTTTCACATGATGTTCCCTTTTATGCCTCAGGTTAATATCTTTGTGTATTTACTTTTCGATGTACCTATGCATAGTGAAATTTTTGGCAGACACATTTAGAAGCAACTTACAGACAATATGAACCTTGAAAATTAAAAGCTAAACTTGTTTCTTCAAGGATCAAGACAGTAAATTTAGCCACGTAGGGGTAATGTTAATGCTAGCCCCTTGGTAATGGAGATGCTAGGTGATAGTTTGGAAATAATTATTCCCACACTTGGTTTTAGAGCAGAGACAGAATAGAGCTGAATTTACTGCAATGTTAGGCAAATGTGATGATCAGGGTTACTAAAAACTACAGAAAAGAATGAGAAATGTCAGCTACTTTTACTCTTTATTGACAGAGGCTACAGGGCAGAGGATAAACATCTTTCTAGATGAGGTAGGTAAGAAATGTTTCCATATGGCCAGCTAGATTAACCTTAAAATGCAAACTGACAGCCCTTCAAGCCTACTCCTCTGCTCCCAGACAGAGAAATTGCTATCTAGGTTCACATTGTCTCAATTCCTATGTTTTTGGCAACGAATAGCAGACACAGGCAACATCAGACTCAGTGTGAAATGGGTGAGGTGAACTGGAAAGTGGTAAGAACGTTGTCTGTGCACCCTGGGGCTGTGAAGGCAATAAAGAGGTGCTAAGAGACAAGGTGGCCCAGCGCAGCTCAGTGCTGCGGACGCTGAAAACCTCACAGGGGCTTTCACAGACTGTCACACACGCAAGTCGGCTTGCGTGGCTGTC